ATTATCTCTAAACACAACCATCTCCCAAACAGTGTTAAATATATTTTTACAAGATATATTCAGAAATAAATATATTGTTGGCTATATGATTAGTTTAAACAGAAACAGTTCTAGTGTGAATGACTTTACAATAGCAAGGCTGCTCAGTTCGGCGAGTGAAAGATTGAAATCACAGAATGTCATCCACCCAGAGGGTAGGTTCATCATTACAGCCCAGTACTGTGTGAACTATTGCAAAACTCCATCCACAAAATGTACATGTTCCCCTCTTAAGTAAAAACGATCTTGTCATTTGCAAACTACTATGCCCTAGTTGATTAACTGAAATCAATGAATATAAAAAATTCCGAGTGAGTAGTTTTATGCCACACTCAGCAATATTCCAGCTATATGGCAGCGGTCTGTAAATAATAGAGTCTGGACCAGACATTCCAGTGATCAACATCATGAGCATCAATATGCGTAATTGGGAACCGATGACGTGCCAACCAAGTCAGCGTCTTTTTATTCAAGTTAAATGAGTGTTTAGTTTAACGCCGCACTCAGCAATATGCCAGCTATATGGCGGCGGTCTGTAAATAATCAAGTCTGGACCAGACCACCCACTGATCAACAACATGAACATCAATATGCGTAATTGGGAACCGATGACATGTGTCAACCAAGTCAGCGAGTCTGACTACCCGATCCAGTTAGTCGCTTCTTACGACAAGCATGGGTTACTGACGATCGATTCTAACCCGGACCTTCATGGGTTGAACATTTCTGAGACAATAGCAGGCACAAGTCCAATTTCCTTCAGGAATTAAAAAAAGCGAAAGTATCATTGAAAAATATAGACGTTTGTCACAGAAAACATTAAAGACAACCTGGTCAAAACTGCACTGGCTTGTTCTTACCACTTAACAGATTATGTGTTTGTTATTGTATTAAGATCAAATCACAAATCACCCCCTCAAGAGAATTTCCTCAATCCTGAAGTCCTATCATCAAATATGCAAAAGGTTGCAGTTCATGTGAATGCAGTAGGATCAGTTTTGAGTAAAATTCCAGATTAAAACAAGGACTAAACCTGAACATGCAAGTGTAAGTAACAAATTTTCTAATTATTTCTCAAACAGCTGCTCAGTTCGGCGAGTGAAAGATTGAAATCACAGGATGTCATCCACCCAGAGGGTAGGTTCATCATGGCAGCACAATACTGTGGAAACTATTTGAAAACTTAACAAGCAACTTATTAGCAGCAAAGTATTATCTGCTTGTTATAAACTGAAATAATGACCATTTCATGACAACGACGGCCTCAAGTTTCTTATGTTGCCCTCAAAAACACAGATCAACATTTTGTAGTAAGATGTGGGAGAAGAAACCCATCATAAATAACATTCTACTTGAAGATCTTAGACATCCACATACAAATTATACCAAACTTCAAAGACATTAACACTCAACATCGCTTGTAACACCAATCTCAAAGTAAAGTATCAAAACCTGATTCACATAACATTTGCAACAGGCAGCAGTTCAGACCATCCCTTATGTGTTTGCAGCACAAAACAGATCAGTTTGTGAGCGACATTTCTAAACAAATTTTTATCACTAAACCTGAATATGCAAGTATTACTAAGCAAAACATTTTCAAAATATTTCACAAACAGCTGCTCAGTTCGGCGAGTGAAAGATTGAAATCACAGGATGTCATCCACCCATAGGGTAGGTTCATCATGGCAGCATGGGAATAGCTATCTTAATGATATATAGACAAAGTCAGCCCAACATAGGGAAAGCCTGAAGATGGCGATAGATCAGTCTTATTCTTATGTGACTACAGAAAATTTACAATGTTACCTCATGTACAAGATCATTTTTCCTAAAATACCATCTGATTAATGAAAATATACATTTGTGAAAGTTGAGACTGCAAAAAAGATAAGGCCGTGGTACTGTGACATTTCCGGTATAGTAAACTGTTTAAAACCTTCATCCACCAAATGAACGATGAAGGGAATAACAAGACAATAAATATAAGAAAAACAACCAAATCAGCGGCCAAGTATTATCTCCTGGTTGATCAACTGTAGGTATGACCATTTCCATGGTGATCGGTTCCTTACATTAACCTCAAGGACACACTGATCAAGGTTTTATATAAAGATGTCAAAACAAATCGCAAATATGTTTGAACATCCATAATATCCACGCCCAAATTATCCCCAACTTCAAAGACAATAACAGGCAACATTGCTTGGAAGTCACATCAATCTCAACAAGCCAAAGTAACAAGTCCTAAATCACAAAACATGCAATAGGTAGTAGTTGAGACCTTCCCGCATGTGTAAGCTGCAGCATGCAAGTAACATTCCTGAACAAATTGACAACACTAACCCTGAATACGCAAGTATTACTCAGTAACAAGTTTTTTAATCAGCTGCTCAGTTCGGCAAGTGAAAGATTGAAATCACAGAATGTCATCCACCCAGAGGGTAGGTTCATCATGGCAGCCATAACATAAATCACGTAAAATGTGTTCGGAACAAATTCAATTCTGTACTAACAAGTCAGACTAGAGATTCATAACTGAACTACCTTTGATCTTAATAGCGGCCTGCTTATTTTACCCCTTTTTAGTCTTTGATCTATATTGAGTAACTCAATGTCTGATTTAAAACTCACCGTCGCTGTAGCTATGACATTTTCTATTCGGCAGTCCAACAGGAATGAAATATTAACGGTATCCAATTTCTGAGTTCAATTTTATTAAACTTAAACTAACAAATAACTTAAAGGATTACTTAATGCCTGTACGAAGTGATTCAATAAGGGGATATAGACATTTTTGTCAGTAAGATCTACAGGTAGAGAACTTTGCTAGTTTGTGTTGTCTGTTGACCTCTGCTCAGTTCGGCGAGTGAAAGATTGAAATCACAGAATGTCATCCACCCAGAGGGTATGTTCATCATGGCAGAGAAAAGCTAAACAATTGACATGTAAATTATTATCAGAAGACTAGTCCTATCAGAGCAATCATAAGGTCAATCCATGAACATTCTTAAATGGTGGCCACCTAAATCAGCGTCTTTTTATTCATGTTAGATGAGTGTGTTTAGTTTTACACCGCACTCAGCAATATTCCAGCTATACGGCGGTGGTCTGTAAATAACGAATCTGGACCAGACCACCCACTGATCAACAACATGAGCATCGATCTGCGCAATTGGGAACCGATGACATGTGTCAACCTAGTCAGCGAGCCTGACCACCCGATCCCGTTAGTCGCCTCTTATGACAAGCATGGGTTACTGAAGATTCTAACCCGGACCTTCACGGGTCTGTTCATGTTAAAAGTTTTCCTTCACAATACCTTGAATTTACAATAACGCTAATTGCAGGGATCCTTAGCCCTTACATCTACAGTAGATCTGATCTGAGGTGAGGTGAGGTGAGGTGAAATTGGGTTTAACATCGTGCTTGAGAATATTTCGCTCATATGACGACGTGCATGCGTGTGTATGTGCGGCTGCTTGTACTAGCCCAGACTTAAGCTGGTTTTATAGTGCTAGCTCACTGAGATACCATGCTGCAGTGAAGCATGAATACCCCACTCAGACACATTATGCTGACTCCGAGCAGACCAGTCCATGTTGTACCCATTAATGCCGAGCGCCAGGCAGGGACCAACAAGTATCATATTTTAACGTCTTTTGGTATGACGCGGTCGGGGATCGAACCCGCGACCTTCCGCTCTCCGGGCGGACGCTCTTACCACTACACCACGGAGGCGGTCCTGATCTGATCTAAAAGTAGCAGATCAGAACTGTCATTTCAGTGTTCTATTGTATGATCTTCATTTCACAAGTCACATTCACTCTTCACAGGTGTAATAAGATAACTTTCAACAACAGTCTTCAACTGTTCGACTTTTACAACACTCAGCACTATTCCACCTACCAATGCTGACAATATTCTGTAAATAATCAAGTCTTGACAAGGCAATACAGTGATCAACATAATGAGCATCAACACATAAATACAAGTACTACCACTGGTAAAAAGGTCATTGATTCAATAAGAGAAATACTAGCTCAAATTGATAACCCATACGTATATACCTGTAGATACAAATAAAATCACACCTTGAGGAAATACTTGCTATAATGTATCTCTGCTCAGTTCGGCGAGTGAAAGATTGAAATCACAGAATATCATCCACCCAGAGGGTATGTTCATCACTGCAGAGATACATTATATTAGGCTTATATACTACAACTCATTACAAAATTCAGAAAGCAGTACTGAAAACAATTACACGTCATTTCCAAATTTCAAATACGAACTTTGAAACTGATTCAGTCACCATGCCTACAAACACTGACTTACTGCAAAAATGTATTGTCAAGCAAAGATCAGTTTTCAGAAGATTTTAGTCAAAACATATAAAAAACTGACTGCAGGTGAACAGCAGCCCCTTGAAGCATGGGGATACTTAAAAGACCTCACCACAGAAACTAAACCAGTTTGGACATCCACACAAGGGGCTTAACCCCTGAATATTCACACAAAGTCAAATTGAGTCACTTCCTATGAAATGTCTGGGTGTATCTGGGACCAATTCTACACAAAATCCTCTGGAGGGAAATAACTATCTGAACATTTTCAAGTGAGTGAGTTGGGTTTAACGCCGCTTTTAGCAATATTCCAGCAATATCACGGCGGGGGACACCAGAAATGGGCTTCACACATTGTACCCATGTGGGGAATCGAACCCTGTCCTTCGGCGTGACGAGTGAATGCTTTAACCACTAGGCTACCCCACCGCCCTGAACATTTTTAAGAGACCTAGTGGGGACCACACGCCTGGGGTACAGGGGACCTATTCTGCCAGGAATCTTACAATGGAAATGACCACCTAACATTTTCAAGAAACTTATTTCAGTCTTCTCTTATGAAAAGCCTGTGGTATGGGGGCGTTATCTTGAACAGAGACAGGTCCAGCAACTCACCCCCAGTAGTGACGGAGTCCTCGGTGGTTCCTGATCTTCTTCAGCCTCTCCAAATCCTCACGGAGTTTGTTGTCAAGCATGTTGGCCAGCACCTGGTTGAACTTGCCATCCTTCACATCCTTCTGTCTGTTGAGAAACCAGTCTGGGATCTTGTACTGACGGGGGTTCGTCATCACTGTGATCACCCTGTCCACCTACAACAGCCACATGTTAAAGTCTACAAGTCATGAATGTGGAGGACTGCACAGGCTGTAAATAAATGAATTCAACACCAATAAATCAATTTCTAGCATGACCACGAGAAAGTATTTATGTTTACAAATTTCAGGATTATAAATGAAAGTAAATCAATAAAATAGTACCATTCATACGTGTAGGTACAAATAAAATCAGACTTTTAGGAAAGACTTGCTATAATGTATCTCTGCTCAGTTCGGCGAGTGAAAGATTGAAATCACAGAATATCATCCACCCAGAGGGTATGTTCATCACTGCAGAGATACATTATAATAGGCTTATATACTACGACTCATTACAAAATTCAGAATGAGTGAGTTTGATTTTAATAATAATAATGATAATAATAATAATAATAGTTCATTCATAAAGCGCATATTTCCATGCACAATGCATGCTCAAAGCGCTGATGTCAGGATGAAAAGGCTTTTTGGAAAAGGTGGGTCTTTAGCGATGTTCGAAAGGTTGAAAGTTCTGTCATTTTTCTCAAATGTTGTGGGAGTTGATTCCAGTTTTACGCCGCTTTTAGCAATATTCCAGCAATATCACGGCGGGGGGACACCAGAAATGGCCTTTACACATTGTACCCATGTGTGGAATCGAACATAGATCTTCAACATGACGAGCGAATGCTTTAACTGCTAGACTACCCCAACGCCCTCAATCTGGGACAAAACTTCCAGGGATCCTGGTCCAGCTAAGAGGGGCAACTCTGCAGAGCAATTATTGTCACCTAAGTCTACTTGGATACACTTGCCACAAATAAGTTCAATGGAGGTTGCCACCAGTGGTGGTCCGATTAACTGTAATAATCAAAGATTGGTTGAAGTGCCTAAACGATCAAGGAATCGATCATGTTTTCTCAATCCAACACAAACAATTTTGGAATACTTGTTTCCATTAACAATATTTTTCACATGGTTGATTTTGTGTTACATTTCACAAGTACTCCAAGCTCGTTCCAAGTCATGATTGAATTTATCCTAAAGACTCCAGGAAATTTATGTTCCTAACCTACAAGTCATCATTTAAAGATGTGAAAATTGCAAAAAAGAAAACCAAAAGAACCACCTGTTTTTTCTTTATTTTTTTGTGCATTAACAAACAAAACCAGGAAAATTTGATACATGACGCAAACAAATTATTTTTGTGATTGATCAGTTGTAATGAACCAATTATCAATTATGAGAATTTAACCAATTACCAATAATACTTACCGGGTACCACAAATAAGTTTAATGCAGATTTAATTTTAAAGATGAAATTAAGAGCTACTCAGTTCGGCGAGTGAAAGATTGAAATCACTGTTCTTCATCCACCCAAGAGGGTATATTCATCATTGTAGCTCTTCAATTTAACAGTTAATACAGGAGTATCACAAAACATTTGGTCCTGCTTGTTCCTCCACTCAACACAAGTGAAACTAGAGTGTCATGTTATTTATACTATTATCTAAACCATGAGAACTGGTGTGACCTTACCTCCTCATCTGAAAGCTCTCCTGCACGTTTAGTGAGGTCGATATTTGCCTTCTTCAACACAACGTTGGAGAATCTACGACCCATACCCTGGAATAAAATAATTTAATTTTTAAAAAACGTAGCCAAACATTGTCTCTGGATCAACAATGTTCAAGAAGGACGAGCAACAAGCATCTATCTCTAAATTTTGATTTCATCAGGACAATACAATATAACAGCAGGCTATATATCACCAGCAAGTGAAGGTAATGACCAAACTAGGGACCATCGGTACTTACAGTACTTTTGCTACCTGGGAAAGAGTTCCTTCCGTTCCCCCAACTCTAAACCTAACTTAAATTTTGGACATTTTGTCAGTTTGTGAGTTCTCTAGTAATTGTTGTGTTAAGTTTTGTTAATAATTTTAGTATATTTATAAATATTATTTGGGATGGGGGAATGGGAGGAACTCGTACCCATTAAAATAACACATTCTACTATTAAAATAACACATTCTACTATTAAAATAATGGTAAATATAATAACACTGTGACTGAAATGGAACTCTTGCTTATTGTGGCTTCTCATCCTAACGCAGGTACCCATTCTGGGAGACAATAATCTTACTGAAATGGTACAATAATCTTTTAAAAATACCTATTCACTGGTGGAAATAACTTTAAAATTGCTAGTGTACTCTGGTACAGTGGCACATGTAAAATCAATTTTTCTACTAGACTGGCCGTTTTCTTTTTGATTTTTTAAATAAACAACATAATTAACATTCGAATATCAACTGGACACTGGTACAGTGTGATATACAAATTTGCTTGCCCGACAGAAAAAAACACTGGACTCGGGCGTCGGGCAATACATTGCAAGTCAAAGCTACGCTGAAGGGGTCTTCAGCTACTACAGATATGTACCCCAAACAAGGTCAAAATACAGAAATGTGCCCAGTGCCCTAAGTAAACAGGGGATGAGTCCATACACCTGAACTCAAAACCGAAAATGTATGTAGTTGTTCCTGTTAAACTGATTGCGAGTGGTATTGTGCATCACGAAATATTTGTTAATGTTACTGTTTATGCTAGTTTCATTTTTAACTCTATCAAATGCCAGTATGACAGTTCTGAACAACAAAAGTACTCGTCTGGATTCTGGTTTTGACACGGGAAGTCCTGTAGTAACCCTGCCGAAAACGACCCCTACAGCCCAAGTTACTCCCAATTTATTCCCGACCTGATAAATACATAATCAACAACATGACATGTTACGACATTATTATGGCTACGACTGAATTAAATATTTTGTCCAGTAACAATGCATACATTCAAAAGATGATTTACACGGGAAATGAAATTACATACCTTAATTGCTGTAAGGGCGAACATAATTTTTGTTCGTCCATCAATGTTTGTGTTCATCACACGCAAGATGTGCTGGAACTTCTCGGGTATAACCAGTGACCCCTGGAAAGACAAGTCCGTTTCTTTTACATACCAAATGAAGTGCATTAATATAGCACATCATCTTGTAATGTGGCTCGATGTTGAAAGGGCAGTGGTTCATAAATACGGACAAACAGGACTGGTAACAACTTCCCAAATCATAAAGATCAAGCCTTGTGAAATAACAGACGAACAGAAATGCAACTACCCATCGAATAACATGTTAGAAATGTTATCGAAATAACTTTATATTGATTGAAATTGAGTCGAATATAACAAGACAACATGTCAATGTTTGCTTCTGGTGGGTTTAATGTGTCAGAAATATCACAGATTTCCCTGGATGAGTGGATTATGATCTGCAGTCGCTTCCACAACTCACCGACATGTTGGAGGTTTAGCGGAAAAGGAAGTACAAGGGGGATAACTGTGTAGGACGAGTGTGACAACTTCCGCCTTCTCAAAATGTCGGCAGTCGTAGCAGATGACACGAAGACCAGCGATGGTATTATTGGCATTGGAGAAGAAGTGGTAATCTCAGTTTTAATTAGTATACAACAACATTTGTTTAGACAAATCTAAAATAGTTCTTCTTATCTCATCGTTGCTTGCCCATAATAAAGTAAAGGCATTTTTCGGCGATAGTGGACACTTATATCTACATTACAAATATAAACAAGTTCACCCTATGCTACATGACTACATAGTGTATACAGTTGCGAGTTACCCAGCTACCTTAAAACACAACAACCAAAAATATAGGCCCAAACATACCGTTAGACTGTCTCAGACCACTCTATGGACGAATTAAGCAGCTGGTCAGTGGAACAAGTATACATAGACCCGGTTGTATCAAACTTTAATGAAGCATTAACGTGCCATTAAACGTTCATTAACTAATGTATCATTAAATTCTGTTGTACTTTCGTTTTAATGACATCGTGTTGTCATTAAACACATTTCAACGATAAGAATGAGCAAAATTGTGAAAATACATCATATAAGGACTTTATACAATTATAGCTTCAGAATACACGTAATAAATGTGTCATTTGACAACTTCGCAAGCAAGATAATGCACATTTAGTTCAGTCAATGCTAATTTGCTGTTAGTGTCACCTGCCTTTCATAAAAAAATGAACTGTTGGCATTTGGTTACGGTATATTATCATAAAATGATAAGCCTGGCAACAAAGATATTTAGTAAACATCAAGTCAAATTGGGCAACTTCTTACTCTTCATTTATCATATTGTTTACCTTAATGCCAAGTTTACAATATTATGTAAAAAGCTACAGTTATAACAATATGACAAGGAAGTAAACAATGCTGATGCATTTACGTTGGTACAAAGAATATTAAGTTGTTATCTATAAGACTTTCATGTCTTGGTATACATTTGTTTGGACTGACATGCTGCAATATGATAGTTGCTGCATCATCACATTTCTTTCATTATGTAGCACAGTGACTTGTTTCATGTCAAACTCACACAATGTTGCATCATTGTAATCATATCATGTGTTACAGGGCATTGAAGAAGTGCATCTCAATCTGGGAGAACTGGACTTGACATCAAATGAGTTTCTCCTGGATGAAGTTGATGGTGAGACAATTTGGGATTTTCTGATGTGGGGTTTCTCAAGTTGTTGAATACACTTTATAACTGAATTGAATCTGTCTGTTGGGTACAACAATCCTGATACATGTATAACCTGTACAAAGACCTGTGTTTGACACCACACCGATGACTACAAAAAATAAGTTTGACATTCACCTGGTCCAAGCAGTCTTCTACAACAAATGGACAATATAAAAGATGGACCTTCTGAGCTAAACCAGAAAATGTGCACTGTTAGAAGGCAGAGACACTACCTTGCTGTCAGAATACAGTATTGTATATTGTATAGCAGTTGGTATTATAAGACAAGGGAGGTAACTTCAGGCTCTGTATCAACATAAATTAACCCAAATAAGAATTACTGAAACCTGTTGTCATAGTGATTACGGCAGTGTGCAAAATAGTTTCCAAATTTTGCTAGCCAGCCGGGCTAGCTATGCCTGAAAGTTACTAGCCCACAAAATACTTCACTAGTCCGGGAAATTTGAATGTAGACACAGGTTTGATTATTTAGCTGCTAATATTTATATCAGGCCATAATCTTGCATGATTTAAAAGTGTGTTATAACTTAACAAGTGAGAGAGAGAGTGATATATTTACAAAATGACCCCATGGAAATTTACTAGCCAATCGGGCCAGTGACTGTGGAGATTTACTGGCCCGGATGGATTTCTACTAGCCACGGGCTAGTGGGCCAGTGGCTATTTCGCACGCTGGGTTATAGTTTGATGAACAACTACCAGGGTCACTAGGAAGCCCATAGTGCGAATGTGTAAAAGGGGAAGTGTACCCCCCAAAAATCACATTTTTTCACAGTGAAAAGAGACTGCTCTATTGAAATGTTATGCCATTATGAGGCCTTTGTTTTCCAAGCTAAACAAGTCAGAGTTACCCCCCTTAGATTATGAAGTTGTTGGTGCAAGTTGATTTAGACTTCTCTCATGTCAAGTCACAAAGCAAAACATGGCCATTGTGAAATTAATTGTGTGGAGAAATATGGAAACAAATATGAATGATGCATTATAAATGAAACTGTAAGCAGCAGGAAAATACACCATGTGTATTTTCATTCATAAACCTCACCTCAATGTAATACCAAATATGTAATACAATGGTGACGGTTGTATCACATTACTATCGGTAAGCGAATGTCACAAAATGGCATTGCCACTGACAGAATTATGCTGGATATTGATTCAGTGATCATATTTGCATAAATGTGGCATTTAGTAATAATCAAAACATGTTATATTCTATAACAAATGAGGAAGTGTATGCAATGATTTTAGAACATGATGTACTGTGTGAAATATTATCTGAACTTTGTTTTGTTTACGTTTCAAACAAATGCTTTTTGTTTTCATGCTTGATTTATTTCGCTTGACTTCACAGAGATGCTTGGCATTGGTGACGAAGACCATTTGTCAGTTTGTTAAATGTATGAGGATTTCAAGGATTCATGTAAGGAAGCTGATTTTGAATTATATGTGATGTAACTGGCGTAACGTAATCGACGTGCAGCATGATTTTTTTTACACTCTGTAATATGGCTGAAAGTTCTCTTCAGAGTTTTTGTATTTTCCAAAACTTTCTCCTCAGTGATTCAAGGGTCATCCATGATGTTTCTGAATGATCATCAATGATTTAATGAAAAAAAAAAAAATACGCATAATTACTACAATGCTTCTGTGAATTCAATTTTCCGAGTAAATTTTCGATCTTTAGATTTCAAAGTGTATAAGGTCTTATGACACATTCATTTATCAATTGTCACCAATGACAGCATATTGCAAGGAACATAAGCCATAAGTGTTTGTTTTGGAAGCAGAACTCTTGGTAAATGTGCCAAATATGAATCAATACAGTGCATAAGATAACTTAGTTACTTGTGATATCAGTACTCTTTTGGCTAGGACACTACAAAAAGAATATACATTTTATGTTGAAAAGTATGAGACAAAAAGGTTTATGTTTGTGTAAATTACACCTTTTAAGGAGGTGTATTAACATGGAGTCATTGTTTTACCTATTAAACGGTCTATTTTAATTTCATAGCAGAATCTTGATTGTAATATGTATATTGTTTTTAGCAATCACAGTATTGTTGCGATAGTTTCAACAGTTGCCTGCCATACTGACCCCCAGATCCCCAGTAATGTGGTGTTTGTTGTGTTTCAGTACACATCCAGCAGAACCTGGAGGACGACATTGTAAAAGAAGCCCTTAAGACTGTAAGTAATTATTGGAGAATAACCAACAAGCTGTGAGGTGTAGCAGACTTTATGACCCTGTGAATGAATAGTGTAAGCCTTAACCTCTTTGAAAGAAGGGGCGATGGGGTAGCCTTGTGGTTTTAAAGGTCACATGCAACGTGAAACACAACTTTGCAGATTCTGATACCTTCGCATGGACTTACCAAACAAAGCGCCAAAATGCAAATTCAACTTATAAAGTTGAAAAATAACGCCGATGAAAAAAAACGCCGCTAAATCGAGTTCAAACGCTTTCACTAATTTTCCCCAGACTTTTCTGGGGAATAATGGTTTCAACAGCTGGCTGCGCCATAGCACGGCGCAGTGAAATAGGTTCGCGAACTTGGAAGCGGGCTGTCTGGTGAATACCGTGAAGGCTTTGGTGTGAGCTATTTTCATAATGTTTTGTTGATATCTCACAGGCGCGAGCTTTTATATGTTATGACAGTAAATAAACTGTTTATATAATTTCATTTGTCTATTTCACCACACGCTCTTCTTACCGAGTCACTTTCTCAGTTCGATACTTAAAAGCAATGTCATTATTTAGCTGCTGACACAATTTCTAACTGTGATATAGATATGTCGCTGTCACAGACAAAACTCAATGTCTTGTTTTATTGACACCTGTGTGTCTGCCTGCCTGTCTGCTAATGACAATATTCAATACACAACTGCATCACTGACCACATGCAATTTGAACTTAACACCAATCAGGCTATACACCATAAACAAAACGCATTGATTTATGGCCCGAAGTTCGGGTCTCTGTCACATTATGTAATTACACAGACAGGCAGGTGTGATACTTGAACACATGACATGTTATGATGTCTGTTGATTGCAAAATGTTATACACAAAAAATGAGCATGTATTTACAAAACCCAACATCTCTATATATACACACACAATGAGCCGTGAAGGCGGCATCTGCTAATGAACCAGCCGCTACACTTGAGTGCACACCCACCCGCTTCTGACTGGGTTCGTATCCCGCTGCTTCGCTTCGAGGGAGGTAAAACCCAACAAAAACACAAAATATTGCACTTTTGATTTTGCGATTATAACGCTTATAATTTTGTTTATTTGTTTTTTCATAATCAGCAATGCATATTATATGTCATGAAGAAGTGATAATTGTGTTTTAATTATGTTTGATTTTTGGTTGCATGTGACCTTTAATTCTGGTGTCCTGCCGTGATATTGTTGGAATATTGCTCTTTGAAAGAAACTCTCATATGATTTAAATTTTGTAAATAAAGTTTTTAAAACATTGCAGCCGGGTTTAGCAAACAAGGTTAAAAAAGAATGGTTATGTGTTTGTCTGTTTGTCTGTAGCTCACTTTGTCTGTCTTGTCTGCTCTGAATTTTACAGCTTCTTGTCCTTTAATCAAAATTATAACCTTACTACATGATAAAGGAGGTTTCTTATCTGATGTTTTGTTTCAGGGTGTGGACCTTCGTCAGTATTCCAAGCAGATTGAGAAGGAGTTGCTGGATGTAGAGAATGCCTCCATACAAGACTGTATCCTTCTGACAGATCTCAGGCCACCTTTGTTCTAAGCATTTGTAATAGCCATGTCAATTATTTACTGCAATATTGAAGGCAAGCACCCATTCACCCACAGGCATGGGTTGTCTATACACATGTGAGTGGGTGAGTTTAGTTTTACGCCGCTTTTAGCAATATTCCAGCAATATCATGGCGGTGGATACCAGAATGAGCTTCACACATTGTACCCATGTGGGGAATCAAACCCGTGTCTTCAGCATAATGAGCAAACGCTTTAACCATGATGCTACCCCACCACCCGGTATACACATGTGAGAACAGGTGCCCTTGTAGGCAGGATCACATTCGCTTACAGACTTGATCATGGCGGTCTACAGACTTGATCATGGATCAGATTAACACCTAAGACAGGGCTCCAGATAACATGATGAGAGCTTGGATGAGTGACTGTGTTCAGATTAACACCACAACAGTTTCTTGGTCTTCAGTTCTGCGTTTGTAAATGACAACGTACACCACACATGTACCTGCTAGTTTTGTGGTTTCACCGTAGGCAAGTGAATTTGCCGGAAATTGCCTTTGTTCATCCAGCAGTGAATGGGTACCCAGTGGGATAAGATATATGACTATTAACATTCTAGCACCTCACAGGTGGCTTTGGTGAACCAAGGTACTATTGTTTGGGCTTTGTGCATAATAGTCCTTAGCACCACTGACCATCGTTGAGGTTGATGTGTTCTTTAAATGTATCATAAATAAATAAATAACATTGTCATGATGATAATGATGATGGTTGTAGAACTGTGTCATAGGTTCAGATGTTGTCCTTGACCTTGGTTAGATATCAAGGAGAGTCAGAATATTGCCAGCCTACACAAACAGATAGCAGCATGTGATACCATTCTGGAGGTGAGTTGGAGCGCCATTCCTGAACGTTGACTTGAATGCTGTTGCAGATAGTTTGTAGAATGACTGACAGAGTTACTTGCCCTTGAACAGTATTTCAGTGAGTAAACAAATGAATTCAACACCAATAAATCAAGTGCTAGCATGACCTTGAGAAAGTATTTTTTGTTTATAAATTATTTCAGGATTATAAATGAAACTAAATCAATAAAATAGTACCATTTATGCTGAAACATGCCTACATTTCCAGCAGTAGATGCACTCAGTATTCTGTTTACATTCGTTTACACTTCAGTGATTTTGCATCCAATAAATCCCTCTGGTAATGACACATACAAAATTTCAATGAGGTCCAGTCTGGGACAGTGAGTGTGTTTAGTTTTGTGCCGCTTTTAGCAATATTCCAGCAATACCACGGCAGAGGACACCAGAAATGGGCTTCACACACTGTACCCATGTGGGGAATCAAACCCGGGTCTTCGGCGTGACCAGCAAACACTTTAACCACTAGGCTACCCCGTCGCCCCTAACAGTATTTCAATTATAACACATTTTGTTAGCTTGATGTGGGAGGAAAGTCTGCAGTGATAAATGTCTTGGATGTTTTACACTTGGAGTTAGTGAGTGGATCACTTGGTCCTTGTGTAAGTGAGTGAGTGAGTGACAGAGCTTGTGAGTGAGTGAGTGAGTTAGTGGTTGTTTCAGTCAGTGATTGAATCACAAGGATGTTTGAGTGAGTGAGTGAGCCAGTGACAGAGCATGTGAGTGGGTGTTTCAGTCAGTGATTGAATCACAAGGATGTTTGAGTGAGTGAGTGAGTGAGTTATTGAGCCAGTGACAGAGCATGTGAGTGGGTGTTTCAGTCAGTGATTGAATCACAAGGATGTTTGAGTGAGTGAGTGAGTGTATGCTGCATTGACCAATACATCAAGTATATCCCTGCATGAACACATAGGACACAGTGTAGAGACATTAATGATTTTGGTACGACCAAGCATCACACACGTTGGTGAACCCTGAACTCTGGCAGACTCTGTGTTTGACTCTGTCACTGTTTGTGTTACAGAGGATGGAGATGATGCTGAATGGTTTCCAGGGCGACCTGAGCAGCATCAGCAATGAGATTCAGACTCTGCAGGACCAGTCCATTACCATGAATGTCAAACTGAAGAACAGACAGGTCAGTTTGTCATTATAAAGGTCAGGGACAATAGACATAAACACTGGCTGATGGTTAACAATTTTTTCAATGTACAGAAGAGCCTGGTTCTGGGAGGGCTCCACCCTCAACACTTGGCATCAGGAATGTCACTTAGTTTGTCTTGATGTTTGACATACCACTTAGATTTGTCTTGGAATCTGGCATACCACTTAGTTTGTCTTGGCATCTGGCATACCACTCAGTTTGTCTTGACATCTGGCATACTACTAAGTTTGTCTTGGCATCTGGCATACCACTTAGTTTGTCTTGACATCTGGCATACCACTTAGTTTGTCTTGACATCTGGCATACCACTCAGTTTGTCTTGGAATCTGGCATACTACTTAGTTTGTCTTGGCATCTGGCATACCACTTAGTTTGTCTTGACATTTGGCATACCACTTAGTTTGTCTTGGCATCTGCCATACCACTCAGTTTGTCTTGGCATCTGGCATACTACTTGGTTTGTCTTGACATCTGGCATACCACATAGTTTGTCTTGGAATCTGGCATACCACTTAGTTTGTCTTGGCATCTGGCATACCACTTGGTTTGTCTTGACATCTGGCATACCACTTAGTTTGTCTTGACATCTGGCATACCACTTAGTTTGTCTTGGAATCTGGCATACCACTTAGTTTGTCTTGGCATCTGGCATACAACTTGGTTTGTCTTGGCATCTGGCATACCGCTTGGTTTGTCTTGATCTGGCTTGATATCTTGCATACCACTTAGTTTGTCTTGGCATCTGGCATACCACTTAGTTTGTCTTGACATCTGGCATACCACATAGTTTGTCTTGACATCTGGCATACCACTTAGTTTGTCTTGACATCTGGCATACCACTCAGTTTGTCTTGACATCTGGCATACCACCAGTTTGTCTTGATTTCTGGCATACCACTTAGTTTGTCTTGGAATCTGGCATACTACTTAGTTTGTCTTGGCATCTGGCATACCACTTAGTTTGTCTTGACATCTGGCATACCACATAGTTTGTCTTGGCATCTGGCATACCACATAGTTTGCCTTGACATCTGGCATACCACTTAGTTTGTCTTGGAATCTGGCATACTACTTAGTTTGTCTTGGCATCTGGCATACCACTTGGTTTGTCTTGACATCTGGCATACCACTTAGTTTGTCTTGACATCTGGCATACCACTTAGTTTGCCTTGACATCTGGCATACCACTTAGTTTGTCTTGGAATCTGGCATACTACTTAGTTTGTCTTGACATCTGGCATACCACTTAGTTTGTCTTGACATCTGGCATTCCGCTTAGTTTGTCTTGACATCTGGCATACCACTTAGTTTGTCTTGGCATCTGGCATACCACCTTGGTTTGTCTTGGCATCTGGCATACCACTTAGTTTGTCTTGACATCTGGCATACCACTTAGTTTGTCTTGACATCTGGCATACCACTTGGTTTGTCTTGACATCTGGCATACCACATAGTTTGTCTTGACATCTGGCATACCACTTAGTTTGTCTTGACATCTGGCATACCGCTTGGTTTGTCTTGGCATCTGGCATACCACTTGGTTTGTCTTGACATCTGGCATACCACATAGTTTGTCTTGACATCTGGCATACCACTTAGTTTGTCTTGACATCTGGCATACCGCATAGTTTGTCTTGACATCTGGCATACCGCTTAGTTTGTCTTGGCATCTGGCATACCGCTTGGTTTGTCTTGACATCTGGCATACCACTTGGTTTGTCTTGACATGCATACCACTCTTGGCATCTGGCATACCACTTAGTTTGTCTTGGCATCTGGCATACCACTTGGTTTGTCTTGACATCTGGCATACCACATAGTTTGTCTTGACATCTGGCATACCACTTAGTTTGTCTTGACATCTGGCATACCACTTGGTTTGTCTTGACATCTGGCATACCACCTAGTTTGTCTTGGATTTCTGGCATACCACTTAGTTTGTCTTGACATCTGGCATACCACTTAATTTGGCATCCATACCAATTTTTGAGTTATATCAGTGTCCATAACCAGGATGAATATATTTCACATAGAATTCATGACCATGTGTGCACATGAATTTAAAATATTATGTTTCTTCTCTCTGCCAGATAATTATTTTTTGGACAAATTTCCTGACCTTTTCTTGTGTGAAAGATGGGAATGTCATCTGTTTCAGGCAATCCGAGGAGAACTGAGTCAGTTTGTGGATGAAATGGTGATCCCTGAAAGTATGATCACGTAAGTATTTCGACAATATTGACATACAGTAGATACTGTTAATCTTATGGTCTTTTGTTTAATTGCTCGGTTTACTGTTCTTGTTTTGTTTACTTCAAGAATGTCAATAGCTGGAATATTGCTGAGTGCTGTGATAAACAACAAGCAAACTTGTTTACATTTCCAGAAGTGCTGATGTGTCCATGTTTATGTTGTTCAGGCACATATTAGATACATCAGTAACAGAGCGGGAATTTTTAGAACAGCTCCATGAACTCAACCACAAGATCAACTTTGTCAAAGAACAGAGCTTCAGAGAGGCACGGTCCTGTCAGGATGTGAAAGATATACTGGAAAAACTTAAAATAAAGGTTAGTAGGTCCCAGCACCTCATGCTTGTCTTGCCCTGTGTGATATCAGGTCAGAATAGCTGACCAGTATCACATTCTTGTCATAGGTCACACTCACAAGCTGGCCTGGCTTTGATTCTCTCATTTACCATGATCTTCAAGTCACTATAGTATGTCGTGACGTGAGTGAGTGAGAGAGTGAGTTAGTTTAGTTTTATGCCGCAATCAGCAAAATTCCAGCTATATGGCGGCGGTCAGTAAATAATCGAGTCTGGACCAGACAATCCAGTGATCAACAGCTTGAGCATCGATCCATGCAAATGTCTTGTGTCTTATGTAGGATGTAGTTGTAGCTGACTAGTGTCAACAAAACCGTCTGATGCTTCTCATCAATACATGATACAGAATGATTGGCTATTGTTTTACTGACCTTGTTTTAACCAATAATATTTTTTAATTCTTCTTTTTCAACAGGCAATAGCAAAAATCAGAGAATTTCTCCTCCAAAAGATCTACTCCCTCCGAAAAGCGATGGCAAACTATCAGATCCCACAGAATACCATGTTAAAATTTAGGTAAGTTGAACCAGGATGCAGAGAAACGCTACAATGTGTGCTCAGCTTTCAAGCGTAACATGCTTTTAAGCTGCACTGGCTGAGTGGGTTAGATCGCTGACTTTGTGTGCTGGAAATTGGGTTCTTGGGTGTTGGTTCAAATCCTCTATGGGACTGAAGCTGAGAAAAGTACTAGAATCTGTACTTTACTGAGAAAGTGTAATCCCAAACATATATTACATTTGACCACTTTTAAAGGGCCACTGATCCAGAGCGATTAATGTTTCCAGTCAACAGTCTAATTAGGAAACCGAGCTGCAAACTGGCGAGCCCCTGCTCCCTCGACCGTGACGGACAGGGGGACTGGGCTACTGTCCACCTTGGCAGAATTTCTTCAACCTAAACAGTGGGACCGTGATTAGGAAGGGAGGATGCCCATTGGTCCATGCCCATCAGATGCCATTATTTGAAAATATCCCTGGTAGTTCTTGTCTGATTGCAGTAAAGCATCCTAGCAGTGTAGGCTTTTTCAGATTTTCAAATACTTTGATGGTATAGTGACTGATCCAATTTGATCCTATTGCTGTGTTTTTACCTCGATATTTAATCATGTAAAAATAACAACATTATGCCATCTTTTCAAGTTTTTCAACATAAACTGTTTGAATATTATATGTTAACAAAGTGTTCGTCAATAATTAGTTGTAATATCAATGCTTCCTACATGTTCTGGTCGTCATTCCATGATTTATTCTGCTAAAACTATTTGATTTTTCATCATGTATACTGGAATATCATTGTTATTTGTTTGTATAAAATGTTGAAAAATGCAACAAAATAAAAAACTAAAAAAAAACTATAAAAAAAAATATGATGTCTATTACCTATGCTAAGATATCAAAAATACACATTTGATGTATTTGAATCCGTAAACTAAACAACCCCACTTTGCCTTTGCTAAAAAAAATCTGAAATTTTAAGTAGGTACACAGGTATATACAGTTTTTAACTAAGTACACAGCAAATACTTACATGTATTTCCAAGGAGAATAGAAAATGCTGTAGATTATGCCTGGTATTTCTTATGCAACAATGAAGTTTCGTTCGTATCCTCAAAACAGAGTCAGCCCATAAGTTTTTTTCAGGCAATCAAACGTGCATGCAATACAGTGATTACTACTCTCTTGCTGTAACCCTTGTTTGGTGGTAAACCTACACATGTTATTTGTCATCATTCACTTGATGATCAGTTAATGAATTTATAACAGGTATAATTAGCGGTAACACCACTCAGATTACCCGACAAAGGTTCCCATTTGGCATTTCTTGTGTCTAGAGTAAATACTCATCATTATAAATTGACGTGTGATGTGGCAAATGTATTACATCTTATGTAATATGCGCATGGAAGTATAGCAAGAGGAATTATTAGCTGAGTTACAAAACAAACATCGATCAAAGGATTAACCAATAACACGCTGATTGATTAATTGCTTTTATCCTGCACAGCGGATTTGTCAAAGGGTAGTGTTTATGTATGTAGATTTACTAATCTATACTGAATACACCCTGTCGTAAAGTTTCTTTGTAAAATAACGCCCTTCCTCCAAAGGATTAACCACCAATACATTGATTGATTGCTCATTATTGGCTAACTAAATTTCCTTTTTTAATCAGTTAGTTGCCAGGTGGGTTATCTTGGGTGACCAATGGGACTATATACCAATGTGAAAAACCTGAAATGATAGACCACTTTTTTCGCATATTAAACTGTTAAAAGACACATGACATGGAACAGGATTCTTTGTCAGCTGCAGATGAATGGCATATCATTACTTTATGTGGATATTGATGGATACATTCCCCGAACAAGGTAATAACCTGATATTGCTGCTATAACTTTAGTCTGTTTTAATATAAATATTTGCATTTTGTTTTTATTCATTTGTTATAGCATTCAACAGAATCATTATTTCTGCGTGAAATGTAATGAGACAGACAACATACACTAGGTCGCACTTAGGGCGTGTGTGTGAATGATTTCATGCGTTGGCAATCAATCAAATATGATTCAGTCGTTATAAATCAATAAAATATCTAGATATTACAGTCATGTTATAAATTCACTAAGTATGTGAAATATGATTCACGTTAGCAATCAAATAAAATATCTAGATATTACAGTCATGTTATAAATAAATTCAGATCGTGTCCAGATATTACAGTCATGTTATAAATTAAGTTTCAAAATGCATACAAATATGATAATAAACTAATTAGGATCAAAAGATCTAGATATTACATTGACTTCATATATTTCAGTCCAAACCATGTTTTATACTTCAGAATGTGGCAATTTTCATTCGTTATCATAATAATGAAGATGGAAATGTTATCAAATATGATAAGTTAATTAGGATCATAAGAAAGATTTCTTCTTTGTTGATCAGTCTATACTTATACTATCAAGTTTCTTCTCTTGCATGAGGGTTATACTATCAAGCAGAGATAACAAACCAGTCAAGAATTCTGGGATATCATCTGGGTACTCACGGGAGAAAAACAATAACAAAAGCAACAACCAGTCCATGGAAATTGCTCTGGATCAGTGGCCCTTTAAATGGCATTGTGTATTCATAACATGCTTTGAGCAGTGTTCACGAATAGCGTCTGACCCTCTGACAAATCCGGTCCAATGGAAGTCTACAACCCGCTCGCCCCAGGCTGTTTATTAATCTTATGTTTTTAAATAATTTCAATGCCAATTTAAGAAATGTTAAATCTGAAATGTGTGTTTTATTTTATTCTGTGGATCCTATGAATGTTCAATGGGTCAGACAGACATTTGAAAGTTACAGAACCCAATGTCTTGTTACTTTGAAACACCATTCATGAACACTGTTTGAGCTCAAGGTTTTGTTAGCAATCAATGTGCAGTTACTTTACAAAGCCACACACTTGGAGTAGATGTTCCGAATGTAGGGCCAATGTTCTACTGGATTTACTGTACTGAAGTAGGAGGTGCACATCATTAGTTTATGAAATTAAATGCATTAAAGAATTATAGTTAACTGATTTAGTGGTGTGCCTGGGGATTAGCTGAGTGGATGAAGCAGTGGCTTGTCACGTCAGAGACACACGTTTGATATTCCACATGGGTAGATTTCTGGTATGGCTCACTGTGATATTGTTTGAATATTTGCTAAGGCCAGACCAATTTTATTTCTTGTTTTATGGCTTTTTGTCCTCAGAAAACCTAAAGGATGTAGGGGAAAATAAATAAAATAAAATCACCAGTCAAAGTTATATTCCTTCTAAATATTCAAAGTATTTTACTTTTGGCAATTTATGAAGTGTATATGGGGAAAAAAACAACCTAAAAAAATTTTCTTGTAAGTTTATATTTTTGGCCAATAAACACATTAGGATTATATTTTTTGAGCAGGGAAAGTTAATTTTTTTTTTTTTTCTTATTCTTATAAAAATACGACAGGCAGATCCATAAAACAAGAAATAAAATTGGTCTGGCCTAAAGGTGTAAAACTATATTCACTCACATGCTTATGACATGCTCAGGAATAACTGTAGAAAACATTCAACACACTGATCAGTGAGACTGAAGGCCCATATAATGGGCACAGTCAATTCCACACATGACTAACCAGTTTGAACATATTTTTCAATTGATGATATATTTATTGTTTTTATTGCCAGGTTCTTTAATGAGTTTTTAATGGCTAATGAGCGCCACATTGCCAAGGAAATACGTGACGAATACATTGACACAATGAGCAAAATATACTACTCCTACTTCAAAGGGTATTCCAGCAGACTGATGAAACTACAGGTAAGTAGTCTTGACGACAATAGCATCCCCGTCATGTTTCAGCTATGCTCAACTGCTTTATAATTCAAAAGTAAGCTCCAAGGCAAAAGGAAATTGTGATCATTTAAATGTATCTATCAGGGATTTATCTCGTGTTCCTTACAGTCCCCGGGCTGGTGGGGTAGCCTAGTGGTTAATGTGTTCGCTTGTCACACCGAAGACCCGGGTTTTCGATTCCCCACATGGGTACAATGTGTGAAGCCCATTTTCAGATGCTGGAATATTGCTAAAAGCGGCATAAAACTAAACTCACTCACTCACCCTTACAGTCCCACTAGAGAGCGTGTGTGTAACAAGTGTCATTTCCTTACAGTTTAATTCGTAGAACCTGATGGGGACCATTTTCTTCCATTCATCAATACACTTTACAGCTGTAATTGAATTGAAATTTGAGTTGAAATCAATCTATGACAACAAATAACATGCTCACAGTTACTTTAACCTGGAGTTTATTTTTTCTGATACGTCCTGTGCTTGTGGCTCCTTTAACACAATGCTTGTCGTAAACGGCGACTACTATCCGGGTCTGTAAGGCATTGTGTCGGAAGCATATGAATACTGGACTGGGGGCTAGTGTAGAAGCCTTTGACAATCACTGGTTTGTCTGGTTGTCTTGTTTTACAGGATGCTTTGATAGAGCTGCGATCATGCTGAATAAAGGCACTCACATTGTATTTTTACACACAAAAATTGAAGATTCCGACTATTGAATTGCATTTCCTTTCGTATCAGTAGACCGCATACATATGCTCCATGTTACATTTGATTTACATCAGTGCATTGCTTCAGATTGCTGGGGAAACAGATCATTGTCCTTTGAAATAACATATACATGACCTGCTGTTTAGCACTATATGTACTCCTGCAGTAATTTCTTTGTCTTGTCCACTTCAATCCCCTTCCTCACTTGTATAATATATCAATCTGAAGCTCTGTGATTGGTTGACAGTAGCGTATTCATCCCATCGATTGGGTGACATTAATGATGTGATTTCGTCTGTTGAAAGTGTACATCAAACTCTGTCTAATTTCTGTTTTGCATCCATGCTTCATTCCGTTCATCATCAATACTTCATAGACTTGTACACTATCGTCCTCCATCACTGAGAGGTGCAGAATGCTGCTTCCTGGTGTAGTGCTAGATTTAGTTACGGCTGTCAAGGGATGCTTGTGAATGTTCTGATCAATGAATGCTCTGATTGCATCAGCACCAGCTGTGTTCCTCTCTTGACAGTGTGTAGTATAGACCTCTGTCTTGCAAGCACCTGCTCTACACTCTGCTTCAGTGGTAGAGTACAGCTAGTTGTGTTTTGATTAATTCACACAGAAGGGTTCAATTGGCCACTTCCACAGCTACACAGACACGCTGACTGATGAAGACACTTTATGTATTTAGTAAAGGGATCTGACAGGTAGAAAAAAATCCACTTGAGTACCCATGTTTCAAAAACTCACCACACAAACAACATTTCCTTTTTTTCTCAGCATCCCTAAATACCTCTTTTAACACCAGCCAACTGGAAGCTTTTACTGCCATGTGACTGAGGTCACAGAGACTCTGGGATGATAATGAAACCTACGTTTTTCAAGGAAAATATCAGCTTGTGATACTGTTTCTTTTCCGAGGCAGCAAAATAGCCTAGAGAAGAGACCATTAGAGTTATCTCCCTTGGACCAGTAATTGAATTGTGACATAGTTCATCTGAACCTAATTTGCACCAAATACCCATCAGGGCCTTAAGGTGATGGGGGAAATTTATATATACAAGTCTATGAAGTATACATGATGTGTGCCCTTTCATCTGTGTACTAATGTCATCGCCCTCTCATTTCATCTTTCAGCCCATCCAATTAATGGTAAAGTTAAGCTTGGCATCGTCAGTGTTTTAACTCTGTGTGTTGTAGTCAGATGTAGATTGTGTTTGTATTTGTGGTCATCATAATTCATGACATATCTACAGTCAATTATGATTAATTATAGCCGTTCTCTTAAAATACTCACCCATTTAACGGTAAAGACTCTCACCTAATACATGTGTAATACAGTCCACGAAACAGACCTTAATGATGAGCCTCTGTGCTTCAGAGTGCAACAGTGAGTAGGTAAAACAGACCCGTTACCCCATTTGTAGACAATCTGAGTCTTGTGAACTGGACCCAGGTGCTTAGCCCAGCGTTCGATTTTATGCTTTAGTCACTGGTGTGCCTTGTCCAGGACTAGGCAAACCGTAAGAGGCTGCCAGCTTGACTCATGGGCCAGGTCTGCTGACGTGGTTGATATTGTGTCCATGTACCCCGTTGACATGGATCATTGTTCATAATGTCAACCACTGGTTTCCAGGTCCATGCCTGTCTTAATAGGCGACCAACTGGATCAGGAGATCAGGCCCACTGGCATCGTTGATAGCGTGACGTTGTTCCCTGTCGTCCAGGATCAATGTTCATAATATCGACCACTGGTTTCCAGGTCCATGCCTGTCTTAATAGGCGACCAACTGGATCAGGAGATCAGGCCCACTGGCATTGTTGATGGGGTGACGTTGTTCCCTGTTGGCAAGGATCATTGTCGATCACAGGATTGTCTGGTCCAGACTTGATTTATTATAGCCTGACACGTGTGGCTGGAATATTGCTGAGTGTGGAGGTAGATATTCACTCACTGTTACTGTAATGCTCGTGTTTAGTCTGTAGATGCATGTCCTTATCTGTACAGCGCACAGATTCCCAGGCTGTTAGAAGCTCTATGTTGTAAACATTTGCTTGCCACAGATATCTATGTAAAATGTAACTGTGTCTAGAAATAGATTATCAGTATTTGTATCCACAAAGTCATCATAGGCAGAGTTTTGTGGTCATTTTGGGTTTTGGAAGGGTTCTGGCAGGAGAACCACTTTGCTGACTTCCATGAAAATGTCCAATAAGGTGTCAAAATCTGAATTTAAACAACACCCAACACCCAACCCAAAACCCAAAACCCAACACCCGCACCCAACACCCACACCCAACACCCACACCCAACACCCAACACCACACCCAACACCTGCACACAACACCCGCACGCAACACCCAACACCCAACACCACACCCAACACCAGACACATAACACCCAACACCCACATCCCAACACCCAACACCCACACAGCACGCAACACCCTACACCCAACACCACACCCAACACCAGACACATAACACCTAACACCCACATCCCACATTCCACATTCCACATTCCACATTCCACATCCCAACACCCAACACCCAACACCCACACCAACCCCTAAAAACATGTCTGATGGAGATATTTTAGCTAACTAAATGTCTAAAACTTTTAGACAAGGGTTGTGATCCACTAAGCGACAGTAACATTACGACCTATGGTATTTCTATACTTCATCATTGGCTTACGATTGACATAGTGCTGAGAACGTTTTCTGGATTGGGACCCTGCAACTACATATTGAGGATTTGTTGCATAGTGATTCATTCTGACACCCTGAAGATTTAGAATGCTGGGTGCAGGACACTACCAAATTGTTTAACTCAAACTATTCAGTAAAGTAATAAAGCATACAACTTTATGGATTGTTTGACAAATGATGATCAAACAATTGTATAGTTAAGTACACCCCCACTCAAGTTTTAGTTCATTTAAAGGAGAGCTACTGTACCTCAGGTACTCTGTATCTTATCTTGTAACAGACCTGTCAAGATCTGGGTTAGAACTGATCTTCAGTAACCCATGCTTGTCGTAAGAGGCAACGGGATCAGGGTTGCAGTCATAAATTGTAGTGTATTATTGTAGTCCAGCTGCTGTAACTTTGAAAACAACAAATGTCTTAACACTACTATGTCTTGTGACAATATACGTAGAGTTATGGGCCCGTTTAACATAGCTCTCAAAGTGCTACGACTGTCGTAAGTCAATGTTACAGTATAGGAAGTGTGAATGCTATGGGAAAAGTTAGGAGATCTTAGGAATACGAGAGCTTTGTGAAATGGGGCCATGACTACGGCAAGTCCTGTAATGGTCAGTCATAGCTATGATGACTTTGTGGAACAGGGGTGATCAGTATAACAGTATGATCATCCGTAGTGCATATTGGCTTGTCATGTATGTCAACAGCTGCAATAGTCTGGGAATCGTAACGCTAAAATGGTTGTGTTCTGCACGTAACATATTTCTGTTACCATGGTTACACTGTTTCTATGGCCAATATTTTTAGGGATGTCTGCTGCTATGTTCTTGTGTTCATTGCTTCACTCTCGTCTGTTGTGTAGCAGGTCGACTTTACGTTTTATTAGTGCAGCTGAAAAGTCCATTCATGATAGGTCGTAGTTTGTTTAAGGATGTGAGTAGCGTGCAACCTTCATTTATTACTCACCTGTTGAAAATATCACTATTTAAGAAATCTACAATGTTATTACACATTGTGTAATAGCATCGTGTGCTGCCGGAAATATTTGCACTTGGTCACATGACCAAAGTAATGTGATCAAAACAAAATGTCGGCTGTCATTTAAAACACATCTCCAAGGCGCAATATTCAACTGTTCTTTGCTCGGTTGCATTTAAATAAAAAAATAGTCATTTCAAGTCATTTGGTCCCTTTTTCATACCCCCTTGTTTATTTAAAAAAAAATTATTTATTGGACTAATGTTTACAATCATAAATGTATTGTATTGTGCTCGTTCTGTAAGTTGTATTCTGAGATATTATTTTGCTAATGTTGGGTGAGTAATAAATAAAATATTAAACGATGTCCCGTGTAATATCAATACCGTTCACTTACTTCATGAGTGCTAACCGTGATTACTTTCCCAATGCAGTTAGGTTTGGCTTCGACCTTGTATATAGCTTTCAATTCTTTGTAAATGGGTGTGTAAGTTAGATTATATTCTTTGGATTGGATAAAGCTTAGTACAGACCAACAGACATCCTTAAGTTGAAGTTACCACTGAGCAGGTTGTAGGTAGAGCTAACATGTTGGTGTTGGTGTGATGGTTATTGCACTGATACACTTCTAATGTCTAACATCCTTGAGAGCACTGATGACACAGTCATTGCAGGTGAAACAATTTGCTGTGCAGAGTTGCCTCCCTTAGGCATGCCAGAGACCTATGATTCTGGGGTCAAATCCTGGTTTGCCAGCACCATGTCCATGTTTGTGTGTTTTGTCAAAATAGTAAATCATAGTTCGTGAAAAAGTCTTCTACAAAGGCCTGGAATCTTGATTGAAGTGTAACTTAAATACAAATCAGACAATTATTTTAGTTTCTTGTAAGAAGGAAGGGTCAAAGGGGAGGAACAAAATGTATCTTTTTCCAGACATTTTAGCAAATGTATAATATGAGACAAAAGTCACTGTTTTTGGCAAACCAGTGAAGCTAAGAATTGTAGTCCCAAGCTTTGAGTTGTTGGATCAGTACACAAAGTATTACCAAAACAACTCTTCATATACATGTATACAGTGATACGAGTCTTATGAACACAATGGGGGCGGTGGGTGGTAGGTAGCCTAGTGGTTAAAGCATTTGCTCGTCACGCCAAAGACCCGGGTTCGATTCCCCACATGGGTACAGTGAGTGAAGCCCATTTCTGGTGTCCCCCCCCCCGCCGTGATATTGCTGGAATATTGCTAAAACGGCGTAAAATCATAGTCGCTCATTCACTATGAACACAATAGCCTTGACCTTGTGTGTACAATATCACCAGCTTTATGAGTATAGTAACTCCAGTCTAATGTATACAGTAACGTAGATAATGTCAGCTATATTTGAAATCATTTCTTTTGGTTAAACGCTTTCGGAATTGTAGATTTGTCATATCCATGTATAAATTTGAGATTTGTCATATCCATGGGGCGGTGGGGTATAAGTGGTTAAATGTGATCATCGAAGACCGGGTTCGAGCCATGAGTACAATATGTGAAGCCCATTTCTGGTGTCCCCATTGATATAGCTGGAATATTGCTAAAAGCGGCATAAAACTAAACTCACTACACTCACTTCATGTCTGTTTACCATGTTCCTTGTTGGGGTAAAGTGTTTTTGTGGTGCAGTCGTCTCCCTTAAAGTACCTGCATACGCCAACATCTGATTCTGTAGTAATGTATGTAGCGCCGTGAGCAGGCAATGTGCCTGGATATGAGCGCCATATAAGTGGACTATTACTATTTTTACTATTAATTGTCTACAACTGTTAGAACTAAAAACAGTACTTTTCTGTTATCTTGGTATTAATTTTTCAGTACAATACATAGTTTCTTTGAACAGCATTTAGAAGTGATATACATAAAGGCAAACATTTATGGATGTAAACTTCTTTATTTTGATAAATACATATTGGTAATGGTTATTTTGTTGTGAGACCCAGTAAGTGTAAAGATCTGATAATCCTGTGTATGGACTGTTTGTGTCAGGTGAAATGGCTATCATTGTACGTGTTGGTTCAGGACTGCTGTGACAGCTCTGGCTTCAGGTCTGGGTTTGTTTCTAATGGTGTGGGGCTTGTGGACTTTGTTTTGGCTTGAATTGTCCTTTAACTTTCTCTTTTGATAAACATAAAGAATCACACCACTACTACATCTCAAGTGATGTAATTATAATGGGATCATGTTCTGATATTTTATGTCTTTGTTGTATAATGAAAATAAAGTATCAAGCTCAATGCCAGTTAATGGACTGTCCGAGGATGTGACGATAACTGATCCATAATGCTGCTGTAGGACTTTATCTGGCTCGTGAATATCCTGGTTATAAATTATCTTCAGCAACACATGCTTGTCATAAGTGGAGACTACGGAGATCTATTGGTTGTGTTTACAGATTTGGTTGATGAATCTCATTGTACCCTACCCGT